GTGGTTCAGTCTATTTCTGACCTACGTCCACACGAGGGTAACTAGGAGTTTTTATTTCTTCTTCTTTTTGTGTGTTATGAAACTACAGATACAATACAATCTTATATAGGATTGAATGGAGAAAAGGAAAGCCACAAAACATGGTCCTTAAGAACCGGGTGACCATTCCTTTTTCTTTTTTGACTAACTTTTCTGTGGACCACTTTGACGTGGATTCACACTCACCAAGGTGCTTGGGAAGTAGTGACCAAACCCAATTTTATCAACCAAAAACTTTGCAGAGTTCTATTTACTTTATGATATCTTTTTGTTTTTATTTGGTAGCTCTGTCATAACATTTGGTTCAAACAACTCTCTTGTAGATGTGATTTATAATCACTTGGATTCAAGTCATTATTTTATATTTCCATGGTTCCAATAAATGATTAATAGAATTCAAAAAAAAAAGTCTAAATAAGTTAGGACTTAATAGAAAGCCTCATGCCGCTGTTTTTTTCTTTTTTTAAGTCATTCATTTTAATGGTATGCCAATTTTTAGATTTGAATTTCATTAAAATAAATAAATAAATAAATAGATAAATTTATTTTTCTGGCCACCCCAAGAGCATCATGTATTGAATCTAAGTAGCTGCCAACTGGTGTAAGACTATGTTTATTGTCAACCCAACATTTACGTAAAAATATATTCTGTCATCCATATACACAATTCCAACTTATATTATATATATATATATATATATAATATATAAATATATATATATATATATATATATATATATATATATATGGAAAAGTTCAATAGAGAACCATTATTAATAAAGGAACCAAGTTATTATATATATATATATATATATATATATATATATATATATATATATATATATATATATATATAAAGCATATTGCATATTTCTTGAATTTTAAGAGGTACAACACCTACTACACTATATACAATCATGTTATGCTTATCATCCAATTATAATGTATTCGCTTCGGCCTTCAGGAACCAAATCTAAACACTAATTTCGGTTCTCATATTTCTTTCTAAACGCACATTTTCTCTTACTCAAATACTCAAAAACCCTAATCGGAGAGCCGTCGTCACTACACTCATCTCACCTAAGTTATCGCCCTCATTTCCCCAAGTAACTGTTATGATTATCTCTCTCTCTCTCTCTCTCTCTCTCTCTCTCCCTATTTTCCTGTCTCTTCAATTTCTTGTGAGAAGGCTACAATGGTATGACATGTATTTTCTTGGTAAACAATGATGGTTCGCTCTATATAGATGAATTGTACAAAATATTTACCCATTTGTACTTCTCTGAGGTTTGCGATTTTGCGTTTTGGAGGTGCTTTAATTTATAACAACAGGAGATATTCAAATAGATAAATCAAAGCATGTAAGATCTATGGCAACATATAGTAGAGGAAATTATATAATTTTGGCTGAACTGAAGAGAATTGAACAAGAAACTCACCTCATGGAGGTTTAACCTGTTATTTTTTTTTTATGTTTTCTTATAGTTTTCAAACGGAGAAATCTGAGCATGTAGATTTTTTTTTTTTTTTATGATTTCTTATGTTTTCTGATGTTTCATCTCCATTTCAGGTTTTGATATTTATGCTTAATTTGGACTGATGCTTCTATAACTTCATCAGCTTGTGTTCTTTCTGCACATAGAGAAACATGTTAGTATATCATCTTTATTCATAGGTAACTATGTTTCATTTGGATTAAGTTTTCCTCACTTGAAAAGAATGTTGTGTTGAACTGCACATACATAAAGATAGGTTTATTGTTATACAAATGTTTTAATAAATGGCTTAATGCTCTTTATATTAGTCGAAGAGCCTATTTGTTAACTTATATTATTTGTAAAACAATCATGAAGCATGGGCAAAAACGTCCATCCAAGGGAAGAAAATCCAACGTTAAGCGTAGTAAATGAAAGTCTTACCAATCTTGAATTGATGTGAAAACGTAAAATCATTCGAACCAACTAGGTTGCGTAAACAAATGTCATCCTTTAGAGTATTCAACAACAGTAGGAAATGGTATTACTTAATTAACCATTAATGGTGAAAGAAGTATATAGGAACCAGACTTATCGAGTATTACTTGAAATATTTCAAGGAGACATGATAATGTTCATGCTTTGAGCCTTTGAGCTAAGTCCCAAATGTATTTATGAGTCGTTGCAAGATGTCATGGACTCACTGAAGAGGTAAGTCCTAAATGACTTGAGGAACAATCTCACTCTATTGCTTAATGACATTTGTGAATGCGGAAACGGGATATAATTAACATACATATATGTTTGATTATTTCACTTATTATTGACTTTAGCTAAATTTGAAAATGTTGTTGGTTCAGATCATTAGTAATATTTGATACATGTCATTCACAACTAGAAAAATGCTCATATTTCATTTATTTTTATAGATTTTGTTTATCACGAATTACATCATCTAATTTCTTTTTCTCCCCTCGATATATATATATCAACTCTATTGTTATTGGTTGATAAACTCTATTCTTATTAGTTAATAGGCATGAAAAAGTTTACATAATCAAATGCAAGAACAACAGTTGAAGCCAAAAAATATGTCCGGAAAGCTTTCATTACTATAGTAATGCTCATAAATTTCTTGAAGTAGGGGGAAGGATTTGAACTCGCAAACTCTTTCAATGTAAAGGTGATGTAAATGTGCCACGTTTGTCATGAGTTGATGCACTTGCTGAATTCAATTTTGTTTGTCAACATCACAATTTTGACTAATCCTTCAAGTCAAATACCAATGCTAAATACCAAAATTAATGGATTTTGTTTGTAAGCATGACAATTTTGACTAATTCTTCAAGTCAAATACTAATGCTAAATACCAAAGTTAATGGATTTACTAATTTTAATTTGTTTTCTAAGATGAAAAGATACTGTGATTAAATATATTGGAAAAATTATTAATCTTGGCTAGAAGTATAAATTTTCATAACATTTTATATTTCTTTCGAAAAATCATTTAGAAATTAGATTGATTTGACCTTATTTATTTCTTTTATCTTTTTATATTATTATTTATTTAAAAAAATATTAATAAATATGTTAAAAAGTTTGAGCTACATATTTGAGTTCTTTAAATGGAAAAACCAAACCACCCTAATTCATATACAATGCCCCATTCATAACATAAATTAAGGAGTTGTTACATTTGACTTTGAATTTGAAATTTTCTTATTCACTTGTGCCATCTACTTATATAAAGACCAACGGACTGTGCAATCCCCTCATTTCGATTCACCATCACTCTTTTCCTTTGCTTCTCCCTCTCTTATTTGCTACTCTCACTTTCTCTCATCACATCACAACTGATGAACGAAAACTCTAGCCCTCTACACCCCATCACACTCTCAATCGCAAAAAAAAAAATAATAAATAAATAAATAAACTAATTGCCTCTAGAAACTAATTTCTGAATAGAAATTATCTGAACCCGTCGCTTAGCACGGGTAAACGGCTAGTGTGTGTGTGTATATATATATATATATATATATATATATATATATATATATATATATATATATATATATATATAAGGAAAAATTCAATAGAGAACCATTATTCACAATATGAAAAATCTCGAACAGTTCAGATTCACATTGTGAATCTGAATTACTATTATGCACACTGTGAATCTGGGGAAGGTTCAAAAAAAAAAAAAACCTCGATTAGTGTAGATTCACACTGTGAATCTAAACTGTAAATATTTCAATTTTTAACATTCATAATGTGAAAAAGCTCCGATCAGTTCAGATTCACACTGTGAATCTGACTAATTATTATGCACACTGTGAATCTGAGGAGGTTCACAATGTGAATCTGAACAGGTTTATAATATGAATCTGAACAGGTTCACAATGTGAATCTGAACTGAAATATCGTTTTTTTTAACATAAATATGAATCTATGTTTAAAAAGTACAAAAAATATGAATTTTTATATATTGTAATTTTTTTCTATAAAAAATAGACCTTAACTTTTTTCATTAAAGAAAATGAATTGGATTTTTTTCGAAAAAAAAAAGTTCGTCTTTTATATATCATCATGGATCTCTATGGAAAGAGGACAAAAAATCGTGAACAACGGTATATTCGGTTTTTTTTGATAAAAAACATTGCCTAAAAAAAATTTTAAACGAAAAAAAGTGATGGATTTTTTTTGTAAAGGGTAGATTTTTTGGTATAATCCGGTGTGTGTTCGTCCAATGTAAAAATGTACATCTATTTCCTTGGCCGTTGATCGTTATGATTTCCGACGCTCACGATTGGTTCCTTGGTTAATTATGGTTCTCTATTGAACCTCACCATATATATATATATATTACCAACATTATTTCGATAAAACCACTATTATCTATGATCAATTTCCATTCTATTTAAATTTAGAACAACATTCTTTCATTCGGAAGACAAGCCTTAACCATTTTTATTTTTATTAATATATAAAATATGGAAAAAGATAATAAGGCAACCGAGACTGCCATATGTCAAGTGGGAACAAGTCCACCCTTTCTTTTCTTTCTTCTTCTTCTTTAATATTTTCTTCTATGTTTTATTGATGAATTTGGTTATTGGTTGGCCCAAATAGCAATTTGAATAATTTAAGTGAAATTATAAGAGCATGCGGTATGGGTACCAACAACGGCGTTTTTGCCTATGTGGCATCTACATAACCCGCTTATAACACCATGAACACCATTTCCCCATTGGTGTTATGACATATCTCGTTTGCGTTATGACATTTTGCAACGGGGAAACAAACCAGTCAAATCCTTTTTCTTCCTCTCTTTCCCTTTCTCTCTCTACTTCTTAATATGTTTTAACATGTTATAACATGGGGAACACCATTTCCCGTTGGTGTTATGGATGAGGTGACATATGAATTGGGTGTTATAACGTGACCCATACCTAATGCTCTAAAAGAAAAAGAAGCAATACTGACCGAGATTAATCGGGCACCAAATCCACATTCTTTTAGGGGAAGGAAAAGGTAATAATAAGCGACCAACACCGTAAATTGCCACAGCAAAGAAATGCACAACCAAACTCAAAGGCCGAGGATTCAAACCGGAGAGCAAAGATAAGGGTCCATTTGAAAAGACGCCTCCGAGGCACAAATACTCAAAACACGCTTCTCGCATTTCTTGCCTTGCTTCATCTCCTGATGCACAAAATACTTTATACAACGCTCCTGCTAATGTATTTATTGTTGATGCCACCGGCTGCAAAATTAACTTTTTTTTTTTAATACTCATTTCCAAGAAATCAAATCTCTTGTCAAAGCCCAAATGAATTGGAATCATTAAAAAAAATAATAATAAATTATATTTGAAGGATTTGGATGGAATTGAATTACATCCATTTTGGCAACCAAACATGCCTTCGAATTCCAATTTTTTTAGTATTTTTATTTTGCTTGTAAATCTGTCAAAGGAATTAGAATTTCTGTAGAGAACGGAATAAATCTCAATTCGCTATTTTCGTTTAGTTTGTAAAGATGTAAAAGGACGTATCATATCATATCATATAAATAATGATAAATGTAGAACTAACTCTTTATTAATTTCTTGTTAGTGAAGCTTATTTATTGCAATTTTTATGTAAAAATATGAATTATGCATAAATCTAGCCATCGTAACAAATTAGCAAACAAACATCAACGTGAAAACTTAAAAATTATTCAACTTTGACTAAAAGACCAAGATACCCTCACTCGTCCTTTTAATCATTAGGACTGTCCAGATAAAATTCTGTCGGATAAATGATATATTAAAAATAGAAATTGAGAAAATGACAACACACTTGTAGAACAAATAAATGAGGGCGAATTTGTATCAGATATGACTAAATGGGAAAGTATCTCTGTTAAGTAATTTTTATGCCTAATTGAGAAAAAAAAAACAATATTATTTAAGTGACTGACCTTACGCAGAGTGTAAAAGGACTCGAGATATTTGCAGAGAGTATAGGAGTCATGGAGATCATGTAGAGGCATGAGAAGATTGCGTAACACAACAATATCAGAAAGCGCTACAGTCATTCCTCCACCTGTCAAAGGATGCCGCATGTTGAATGCATCACCCATTAACAAAGCACCTGGGGTTGGGTGGGGGACAGCTGGCATACTTCTATTGGCCATTGTCCGCATGTTTCCTTTATCAATTGTTGCCACAAATGCATCTTTCATTTCCACAGGTATCTATACAACACACAATTAACTCATTCATCTTGTTTTGTTTTTGTTTTTGTTTTTTTTTTTAATGTTTGGAAATTTGAGGGTGTATTGGTACGTACCTGAGGTGCAACTACAGTCTTCAAATAGTTTGACAAATCACCATTTGAAATAGAGGGTATCTTTTGACCAGGTACATCAACCAGACATCGAATTTCAGTACTACTGATTCGGTAAAACAAAATGGGCGATGGGTCTGCTAAAACAACATGCCCATGGTTTTCGTATGGTAGTTCACACTTCTCCAAGATCAAACCAACAAAACATGAAGGCACATCCACCTGTTCAATACGTTTTTGTTTATATATGAATCAATAGTATAGTTGTTAGATATATCAGCAGCCTCACAAAATCAACCAACTAATGGCAATGGTACAAACTTGCAATTTCTTATTCCACTCAAAAAAAGGGTGAGACCTATTATGTCAATGGGAAAAAAACACATCAAAAAGTTTTCAATGAATAAGATGGGAGAGGGTCTCTTTCCTGTGTAAACAACATAAATGCCTCCTCATCCATATTATCTAAAATAGCCCTAAAAAGCAAGTCACAGAAGTTGTACTGTGTTTGACATACATTGGAGTAGAAATGATGTCAATGGGACAAAATTGCAATTTTTTGTCCCACTCAAAGTGATAAAAACAAGGTCTTATTGCCTAAAATAACCCTAGAAAGCTTGTCATTGAATTTGCTTAAGCCCCATTTGTTACCCAGGACAGAATAGCACAACACATGACATGTTGTACTATGTTTGACATGCATTGAACTGAGATTGAGACAAAAGTTGCAACAAGCTGTGAAAAAAGACGTGAATGCCTTCCCCATCATGTAAAATAGTTCTTTGTAACTAAAACAATATTAAGTGGAAGGTTTATATAATATCATCACCTGAGGATTGCAAAGGGATCTCCGCAAATTTGAAAAACAGCCATCGCATACAATGGTTAAAGGTGCATACGCTTTCATCATTTCACTGTTTTTATTCTTGTACATCACGCCTTTGATTGTTCCATTGTCTTCAAGAAGAGATGAAACTGTTCCTTGTTTTAACTGAACACTAAGGACAAGGATTGGTAAAGATTAATCAAAGTGTGTCTAGATTCTAGAGAAGATGTTAGTCTAATGAGATGAATGATACTTGGGAAGCAATGAGGCTTTCTCCCTCATTTTCTGTATAAATCGACCATTATGAAAGCTTCTGCCTGCCACATCAGCATGAAACTTCTCCAATGGATAAGAGAGCCGAGTATTCTTTCCATCTTTGAAAAGAGCGTATCCGAATACTCTCTGAGCATCAATATCTTCCACACAATCTACACAAAAATATAACGGAAGATAAAGAATTATCCAAGGAAAAGTATTTAACAAAATAAACAAAGTAAAAAAATAAAAATAAAAAAACAGGACAGAAAACGCGAGTAGTAAACTGAAGCTCTAAAGTTGTGTTCGTAATAGAGGACAGGAATGGATAGATAAGGGTGTGTTTGATTGTGGAGAAGTTTTCCATGAAGATTTTAAAATGAAAATGAAAATTTCGAAAATGCGATTGGTTGATTAGTTTTCAAAAAATTTCCAAGAATATTAAAATTTTCTGGTTTTCAAATTATATGTAAATTAGGAAAGCGATTTTTACAGTTTTACAAAGTTTTCTAAATTTATAAGATGGAAAATGAAAACTTCACTGGTTTCAACCAAATGAGTTTTATAAAATTTTCATTGAAAATTGAAAATAAAAACTCAACCCTATTTTCTGAAAACGTTTTCTAGAAAATTGAAAAGAATTTTCTACAATTAAACGCTACCTAAGCTTCTCTAGGGCTATTTTTGATGTTAGGGTTGAGGACATTCACGTCTTTTCCTCAAACGAGAGATCGGGTAGAATAGAAAATGTGATCTTTTTGAGTGGGATAGAAAATTGTAATTTTTGTCCCATTAAAATTAGTCCTAGTCATAGGGATTAAACATGGTGATTTCCAAACCTTCCAACCCCAACTCCATCAGTTTGAGATAACCGCCTGGTTGTAGCAGTTCACCAACAATTCGATCAGGTTCTGTCAGGTCTCTTTCAATTACAAGTACCCTGCGCCCATCCTGAACTCCAAACCATTACAAAATAATTAGATCAAATAATGTATATATACATAATTAGATAAATTAATTAGCCCATCCCTGCTCTAATAGTTAATATTTGATTTACTATTGGTGTTGCCCTCCCTCCTTGAGGTTGAGGGTTCAAGTCCCGTTGTGGACATAAATGGATTTAAGGTGTAGTTTAGGAGTAGGTTAGATTTGCCGTTTCAAAAAAAAAAAAAAAAAGATTTACTATTCATACAATAAACAATTGCTTCCACCACGACAAAAAAGTACAGATTGATCAATTTTCTATATACAATTATGCGGAACGAGGGTGAGATATTAACTATTAGAAATGATTATGACTTCTACAATAACCAGAAAATACAAATTCCAAGGCTCATACGCATAAAGCTAATATCCCTGCAAAAACACCATCGATAGAATTATAATTAACAAAGTCAGCCCTAATTTCCACCTCAATGACTATAACTCATATATACTAATTTACATGTGTTTATTTGACTATTTATTCATAATAGATAGCTCAGACTGATCAAAGTTAGAAAGTATAGTAACGAATGTGATATTGCAACATTAAATTTCGAACTATATACAAGAATTTAATAAGCTCTGCCTCCAAAAGAATACAGTATTTGCACACAGCAATCGTGACAAAATAAGATCGAATTAATAATAAAAGAAACTATACCTTGCCGAGTGTATGAGCGAGAGCAGCTCCGGCAACTCCGGCGCCAACGATAATGATATCAGCATCATCAGCAGATGTGCATTCTCCGTTTATGCATATCGTTTTCGTCGTTACTGATGATGGTTTTCCGTTGCTATTTCCGTCACCGTCCGGAAGAACTTTCCGAACATTTTTCATAACGAAGAATGCGTATATTATCATGAATCCAACAACAGATGCGAAAATGGAACCGATAACTAATTGATCGACCATTTCTCCGACCAGTGTCGCCACCGAGCCAGACGACAGCAATAACTACTCGCTCGTAGATATACTCTTCCTGTATTGATTCGCTGGATCTCGGTGGAAATGAGAAAAAAACGTTAATATATAGCCCTCTCATTCACTCACAATGCTAATGCCGTGTACTTTCATGGTCTTTCTAAAAAAAATATGTTAAATATTTGACCAAACTTTGGTGCGTTCGGTTTCTTGAATATTTTCCAAAGAAAAGAAATTTGTTAAATAATCTAATTTTCAGTTTTTCTTAAAAACAACTATAATTTGTAAGGATTTTATGCATATTTTGAGAAAAAATTTGATAGTTATAAAGTTTTTTTTAAATTTTTTTTAGAATAAAAAAGTTTCGGTTATTTAATATATTGCCATAATTAACAAAAAAAACATTATTTTTATTTTAACAGAAAATGACAGATTATCGTGTAAAATTAAACAATCGAGTCTTTTCTATTAAAAAAAATTAAGACTTCATCAAAAAATTTCCTAAAATAATATGACTTTTTTGCATAAAACATTAATTTGTAATGCATTTAATTGGTAAAAATAAAATAAAATTTTATTTTTTTTAGCATTTCAGATTATAATATTTTACTAGGTGATAGGTTCGTGCACAAGCTCAAAACTTTTGATCTAATTCTACCACATGTATATACATAATCAATAAATTGTATATGATTATACGTTGTTTAAGTCATCTTTAGGTTTATTAATTTTATAAAAGGTATCAAAGCAACCTACGTGATAGATTTGCGTAAACATGAGTATGGGGATATTAATCTAAGAAATAGGAACATAACATTTTTCACACCACTGAACATATTTTCGTACCACTTGAACATTTTTTTGTACAATGGACAACCTTTGGCAAAAACTTCATAACTTTCTTCACGTAAATCCAAAAGACTATTCTTGTTTTCAATTGGAAACTACGCATCTATAGCTTTCCAAACATATAAGATACATGATTTTGTGACTTCTGGATTAGGGGTGTTCATCGATTTAAATCCAATAGATTTTGATGGAACAAATTCAATCCAATCATTTATTGGATGTTGGATTTTGTCAACCGATCTTATCTAATTAGTTATATATGCAACTGATATGATCCAATTGGATATTGGATTTGATCTTTTTTTAGAACGACTTACACACGCAATAATACTCTACTCCTAAATCTACACACTTCGTCTACAGTGGGACTAGAACCTCAACTCGTGATACTGCTAGGGCAAAGGATATTTGTAACACTCGATTTATTGTACATTTTGGTTTAGCCCCTTTGGGGGTGTATTGTTTGCAGAATTGGTCCCTAGGGGGCTGAATTGCCAACTTCAGGATAGTTGGGGTACGCTAGGCATACTCCGTGTATGCCGGGCGTACTAGCAAGGTTCTGGTCGCGGGCATTGCCCACGTATGCTGGGCGTACGTGGGGTTACGCTGGGCGTAATACGGCCAACTTGAAACCCTAATTTTTAGGGTTTAACCCCTATATAAGCTCATTAAGTCCTATGAGCTTGGCCTCTTACCAGCCTCCATATCTCCTAAACCCTAAATTTTGATCCTTAGCCATCATTTTGTGTCTTTGAGCTCTTGAGAAGAAAAATTGGTGTTTTATTACTCATTTTAAAGGGATAGAAGAAGATTGAAGGTTCATTGCTTGGTGTGAAGCTTTAGAGATCCAGAATCATCATTCCTTTTGCAAGTTATTTGAGGTATAAAGATCTTATCTTAATAACCCTTTATATGGATCTTCTTTTGGACTTGTTTATGGCCATTTTAGTTCCTTTTGGTTGGTCATTATGAGCTAGGGTCGTTTCATAAGCCTAACATGGTAGATCTGGGCATTTTGTGGTCCCCTTCTCCATAAAAATGCAAGCTTGGAGGTGTTTAGGGACTCATGCATGTGTTAAGACCCTTTGTTAAGTTATTTTGAGCTTTAGAGCCCCATTAAGCCATGTATGCATGTAAAGTTGCCAACTTTACATGATAAGTCACCTTAAAGAAGTCAGATCTAGAGTATGAAGCAATGGCTGAACGAATTAAGTGCTTAATAGAGGTGTTAAGGAACCTGGGGAGTACGATGGGCGTACCCAGCTGAGACGCTGCGCGTACTGACCCTGGAGTGGGTACGCTAAGCGTACCAGCTGTGTACGCCTCGCGTACTCAGCAGATTCAGCTTCGTTCTTTTTGGGCTCTTGGCTTTGGGCTATGTTGGACTTTAGTTGTCTTGGGCCTTGTTGGGCAATCAAAAGTCTATTGTTTGGCTGTTGAGATTTTATTGGTCCTTCTTGGGTGAAGGCCCATGAAAGGGTTTGGGCCCAGTTTGGAAAATTGGGCAATATTTGGGCTTTAGGTGATTATTTTAGAATTTGGGATTTTTGGACAATTGGATTAGGCCTTGGCCTTGGGCCAAGTTCGAGAAGGGTATAAATGTCGTTTACCCTAATTTGGACTCTTAGTGTGAGTCGGGGTCCAATTATTAATTGGATGTTATTTTGTGATTGATAGCACAAGGATTTTAGCGGATCTGCAACCAGAGATTTATTCGTGGGTTTCAGGAGTCTGAGGTGAGTCTCCTCACTATATCTATGGGTCGAAGGCACCAATGCCAGCCTATTGGCTTATGTATTGTTGGAAGACCAAGGGTGACCCTTAGCATTGTATGAAAGACACGGAGATGGCTCCTAGCAAATCCGTATGCAAGACCAGGGTTCGGATCCTGGCAGTTAAGTAGATTGTTAGTTGTAGATTGTATGTTTGCTGTCTTTATGATGCTTGCATGGAAGACCAGGAGGTGGCTCTTGGCACTTGTCTGTAACACCTAAGGTTTTGGCCCCGACATGGCAAGGAAAGACCATTATATTGAAGGGTTTTGAGCATCCTAACAACCTTAAGGTGCACATACAACCCTGAATGCTTTGGAACTATGTTTTCTCTATTATACATACAAAATTTATTTCCAAAGCATTGTCCTATCTAGCATGCAATTGTAGGTTCTTATACAACAAAAATCTAGATAGAAATACATACCTTTTCTTGTAGTGAATTGCTTGGAGCTTTAAGAGCCTAGCACCAAATAATGTGAATGCCTCAAGTGGAATCATAAATCACCACAACAACTTGGAAGTTCTTGAGAGAGTATACTAAGCTCACAAAATCGGCTATCTTCAAGTCTCACACACTAGTGCCGATTTCTAGAGCCTTGGACTTATTTATATAGTATAGAGGATTAGGGTTACATCCATGTAAACCCTAATACCCATGACCTTTCATTTCCATAGGATCCATGGGTTAAAAGCTCCATGGACTTCCATGCAAGCTTAGCCCATCTTAAATAATCCATTGGCCCATACTATTAGAATCCATATTTAGCTAGCCTCTTTTGATCACTAAATTAATTCCAAATTAATTCTTGATCAATACTAATTAAATAATATGATTTCATATTAATATATTATAACTTATAATATATTAATAAATCATAAATATACTATTCTCAAAAAACTATCCATACAAATTGTTCCGGTGAAGTGCAACCCAAATGGACCATGCCGGGTCGGGTCAAGTACATACCAAATATAGTTATGGACTTAGATACCTTATCCAACAGTCTCCCGCTTGGGTAAGTCTGATAACTATAGTTGCAAGTATGACTTCAGTAATCGACCAGCAATCGTAGCTCTTAAAACCTTGTCGAACTAGGAAGTGTCATTTTAGATAAGTGATCATATAATCCTCTGTTCAAGATATCAACCGGACAAATACATGGAACAACGTCGTACTTATTGTCCAGCAGTTTGTTTCCCGATTTCCGATTTGTTTGACATAGAACTCAATTGAACACATCAATTCAGTTCTGACCGGGCTCGACACATAGGTCAAAACAAAATCATCGAGGGGCCCATATATCGCTTTTAATCCTCCAAGGACTAAAAGGAACAGATAAACTTCGACTCATATGCTTGTACTAAGTACTTGTTGAATCATACATAAGAGCACGTTTTATAACATCAAGTTACTAATGTGTTTTCGTACAATCAATGTACAACCAACTCATAGTCAACAACTCATATCTCTAGGTTTGTAGATTTATATGATATTACCGTCTCACGATCACTCAAGATAAATTCCATCAAGTGATACAAGTGAGCGTGGGTTTAATCCAATACTCAGAACTTATGAGCACTCATGAATGTTGCGACAACTCTTGCTATGTCTAAACACCTTAGACATCTACAAGCCTAATTCATGACAATCTTGATTCAATACCTACTTCCAAAGTATGATTGACTGTGGAGGGTTTGAATAATATAATTATTCTGGAAGTCAAAACATGCAAAGTTGAAACAATAGTAAACGATTGACACAAGATAGTAACTTTACTCATAAATAAATAACAACTTTTAATTTAATCATCAAATGTCAATTACATTTTACAAGTTCCAGAAATAGCTATCTAATTATTAAAACTAATATCGTCCTTCATCCCGATGCTCCTCGCATGCTGCAAATGCTTAACCCTAGTCAGTCCCTTCGTGAGGGGATCTACAGGGTTTTCTTCTGATGATACCCTATTTTCCACGAGGAGTCCTTCTTCTATCTTGTGTCTTATGAAGTGATATTTTCTGTCAATGTGTCTGGATCTGACATGATCTATTGGTTCCTTGGCTAAGGCAACTGCACTATTGCTGTCACAGAAAATCTCCATAGGCTCCGTTATAGCTGGTACAACTCCAAGGTCTCTGATGAAGTTCTTCAGCCATATCGCCACCTTCGCCGCTTCACTTGCTGCTATGTACTCTGATTCACATGTCGAATCAGCTACTATCTCCTGCTTGGAACTTTTCCAAGTAATCTCTCCTCCATTTAGGGTAAAGACCCAACCCGACTGAGAGCCGAAATTATCTCTGCCGGTTTGAAAACTGGCATCGCTATACCCCACCACTCTCAAGTCATCACTCCCACCGAAGTTAAGAACCCAGTCCTTAGTCCTTCGCAGGTACTTGAGAATGTTCTTTACCGCAGTCCAGTGGGCTTTACCAGGGTTCCCATGATATCTGCTGACCATGCTCAAAGCAAAGGCCACATCAGGGCGAGTACAAGTCATAGCATACATGATCGAGCCACCAATGGAAGCATATGGTAATCGACTCATATCAGCTATCTCAGCCTCTATACTCGGACTCTGAGTCTTACTCAGTATAGAATTGTGCTGGATCGGTAAGTCACCTTTCTTGGAATTCTGCATGTTGAACCTCTTCAACACCTTGTCCAAGTAAGTGCTTTGACTAAGTCCAATTAGTCTTTTACTCCTATCTCTCAATATCCTTATCCCTAGGATCACTACTAGAAAAATAGCATTTTACGAAGCACAATGCGTGTCATAAAACGCTCAGACGACGCACAAATGCGCGTCAAGGAAGGCCCTATCATAATGAGAGACGACATGCTTTTGCGCGTCATCTATAGACGACGCGCATTTATGACATGCAATGCGTATCATTAAAACCCTGTCAAGAAAGGCCACGTCATAAATGAAGACGACACACATGTTTGCATATCGTAAATTTAAATGTTTAAAAAAAATTATATTTATATATTTATTAATAGAAATAAAATACCATATACAAAAAATACAATCCATTGCATAAAATTAATGTCATACAATTCTATTTCTTACAATATATAAATTTGCGTTCATCTAATCTACTCTGTGTTTCATACAAAAAATCTATTTCATGCGGCTTCTTCCATTTCCTTTATTAGCAGCTTCCATCATTAGCAGTACAACTAACAATTGAAATGAAGAATGCAACACTTGCATTTGCAGCATCTTATCTCTTTCAGCTTGAGATTTCTTTTCCTCTTCTAACTCTATAAGACAAGAAATATTCCCTCATCTAATCTGCAAATCAAAGTTACAACACAATTTATTGTGTATTTACCTGTTTGTTGGCTAGTATTAAGAAGAGGGGCACCTTGTAGATCCTCATGCCTAAGCAACTTTTCTGATATCAACAAATTTCAAATTACAATCAATATATGTTGAATAGATTCATTTCATAAATTTACCACAAAAGGGAAACATCTAATATAAAACAAAGCTTAGTTACCAAGGGCAGATTTGGAATCTTCAAAACGTGACGGACAAGAAGCATCAACTACAAAGATAACAACATGTGCCTCCTCATAATATTTCTCCCAAATTGAACGAAGACCAGACTGTATAGATACTCGTGAACCAATGACAAATTAGAAAAAAAAATAACAGTAACACTACATATTTTTATAAAAATCTCTAGTGCTTGCTATTATTATTATGCTACTTTTTAAGATAAGATCACAAGAAAAGTTGGGAAATTTAGAAGGTATGAGATAAAAGGATTGATTGTAAATACATGACCTCCAAGATCCCAAAACACAAGTTTTTGTATTTGAAGTTTCTATTCGACCAATATTGACTCCAACAGTAGGAACAATTCGATCAGAGGGAAGGCCTTCTAAGCTTGAATATTGTGTCTTCAATTTCTCCAGTAAGGTCTACACATAAACAAAGTATTGCTCATGTCTAAATAGGCTTGTTTTACTACAAACAAAATGCACAAATTACATAAAAGTATGCAATAATGAAAGAGTAGAGAAATGATTACTGTTTTTCCAGCCTTGTCAATTCCAAGAATCAGTACATGAAACTCTGTCTTACTGACCAGATATTTCCAAAGTACATAAAGCAATGAAATCATCTCTATCTTCCTTTCTTGTTTTTATTCTTCTTAGTTCTTCTCCACCTTATAAAAGGAGAAATTAGAATTCCTTTTCCTAATTCAAATTCTGCATATAAGCATCTGGAAAACAAAAGGGAATCTCCATATCAAGATTTGTGGCAAATGGATATGCTCAGGTCAACAAAGAATATTAAAATCAAATACAAACTATAGAACACACTAATTTCATCTCCAACAACCTGTGTAGTCTTGTGGTTATGATTTTAGCATATCATGGTGAATCAACAATGTATATAGGACTATTAATTACCATTCTTTTATGAGTTATAACCACCATGTAAATAGAGTTAAATTACTTCATGACACGAGCTTGTTGATCTGGATTCACAAATTCATATATCAGTTATGTTAACTTACCTGCAGTTCGTCCTTGTGATCTTGTAGCATATAAATTTCAGGTTGCACATGCTTCAACTGCACCCTGGGTTTAGAAGGAAATATAGAAAAGTAAGCACCTTAAAGTTTTGAACTTTATAGTCAAATAAAAAAAATTGGTAATCATCAATTAATAATTAAAAAGAATATTAAACCTGATCATCATAAACATATTTGATTTCTGATGATGGGGTTTTTGTTTCTCCTCCTTGCTCACCCCCATCAGATGACTTGATTAGTGAAATCCCTTGTTAATCATTTAGATGAGATTAAGAAAAAAACAACTTCTAATGTTGTTACCATGTCTACACCAGTAGCATTTTCAAGCAACCATCATGGAGTACGAACTCACCACCTACAAAGCACATATAAAATATGAAATTAGTGACATTGAAATCCCATTTTCAAACAGCTTGGAACAAAAAAGAGAAATATAAAGAGAAAAAGTATTATTGATAGGACTATTAAAGAATTCCTAAAGTAGCACATTGATGAGCCTGATAAGATTGTTTCAGATCCAAAATCAAAGCTACTTACATGCAAATCGCAAATTGACGGTGGTGTACATATCGAACCCTAGTTGCTGCCTTTATCATCTTTCATGTCTTCTCCTCTCAATCAATGTCATCTACTGTCTCTGGAAAACAAAAGATACAAATCAGAGGGAAGGCTTTAATCGTGAACTTTAATCCATCACACACCCCACCGATTTCAGAAACAAAAAAACTTCAGTTATTTTGATAACATGGCCAACAAAGAAAAAGGAAACAATGAAATCCTAGACTCCACAATTTTCAGAGAAAAATGAAAGATGATAAACAAATTAGCTAAAATTAGGTTTCGTTGAGACTTTCAGCATCTCCATCCATTCATGTTTAGGAAAAAAAAACTTAGAAACGAAATAGATAAACACAAACATCACAATGGAAGGTAATAGAAGAAAAAACACATAAACGTGACAATAACCACAGATGCAGACCTGAACATTGGGAAGCAAGGTATGAACATATTACCTGCAGAAGGTGTTGAGAAATCAATCGATCGACATATTAACACGTGAATCAGAAAACTCGTGAGGAAACTTCAACCTTCACATCGCCTCCAGCCACCGCCACCGAAAACCCATGCCATCGCACCAGCAGCAGCAGCAGCGCCGGTATGCGTTGTTGATTCGTGTTGCTTCCCTCTCCAACTCCTCAACTGAACGAAAGGAAGTCCCAATTGAATACAACAGTCAGCAGAACGCAACAGATAAGAAGTAAGAAGTAAAGGAAAGAAGAGAAGAATTGGGGCGAATAATGGGGATAGATTCAAGATAAGGAACATATAAGGAACTCATAATCCACGTGTGTTTGTGAAGGAAAAGGGGGGGGGGGGACGAACTAGGGTTAGAATCTAAGTGAGCGTTTCTGTGGAAGGAGGAGACGCAACAGGCGGGGTTTTTAATTTTTTCGATTTCATTTCCCCCTGCTATTAAAAAACGAAAACGCGCGCCCATAGACTAAAATTATAAAGCGGTAGGGTAACACGACACACTTTTTAGGATAGATGCCCTCCATGTTTTTAATTTTTTTTTGTTGGACACTAATTTTAGGGCGCCCAAAAATGTGTGTCCTCTATCCTTCAAATTTTGCAAAACTGACGTTATTTTTTAGGGCACGCACAAATGCGTGTCCTCTATCAGCGCGTGTCATTGTTTGCGCGTCATTAAAGGGTTGTTTTCTAGTAGTGGATGTAGGTAGCTTCTCCAAGGTCCTTCATAGCGAAACACTTCCATAGCCAGGACTTAACCTCCTACAAGGTTGGGATGTCATTTCCTATGAGTAGTATGTCATCCACATACAGTACCAATGTAACATCCCAATTTCAAGCCCAAATTTTTCATTTTTAATTAAGTAATCCACAACATAGTTTACCAAAACATTTCCCATGCCATATCATTTGCAAATAGAAATATAACAATGTGTCTGAAAATCATATTGTCAAAGTAAAATAAATCAGTGTACCCTCCCAGAAAACTCCATGCGGAAATCATGTGTGTGTGTGTGTGTGATGCGCTGCAACACCACCGACTCCTTCCCCTTAGACGAAGAGGTACCTGAAACCAAAACTAAAACTGTAAGCACGAAGCTTCGTGAGTTCCCCCATCATACCACATACCATACAATCATAGAGCATATATACTGCCGGGCTATTCTGGGGCGACCGTCCGACCCGTGTCAAGCCATTCTGGGGCGCTGACCTACCCATGTAAGGCTATTATGGGGTGCCGACCTATCCATGTCAGGCTATTCTGGGGTGCCGACCTACCCACCGGTCATTCCACCGTACACGGGGACTATTTCACCCCTACTGCTAACACATAATATTATATCTCTATCATAATGTCAGACATATCTGGGGTATCCGACCTACCCGTTGGTCCTAACGACCGACTCGGGGACTAGTCCCCTCCTACTGATACCATCTCACATAACATAGCAAACTAGCATAGTCACATATTGTCACACCCCCAAACCTGAACGGCGGAAACATTCGGGGGTGGAGGACGTCATGTACAGTATCATAACAAATGTGAAATAGTAAATAAAGCAACAACAACCATTGTATTGATAATAAGGTGTTTACATAACATAGATTGATAGTTTTCAAAAGTAGATAACAAAATAAAGACTTGAAGCTACTATGATCCGTCTTCTCGAAACTTGAACGAGTACCTGTTTATTAGTTCCCTGAGAATACAAGTGATTTGGAAAGTGTATCAACATTTAAGTTGGTGAGTTCATAAGTATTTTGTTTTAGAAGGTAAGTTCATTGTTCCTTGAAAATATTCGTGTGTTACTCCAGAAAATTCTATATTTTCTTAATAAAATGGAATGTAGTCTTAGGCCTTAAGATCAAAATATATATGTTTCTTACGTTTAAAGAGTGATATATGACGCTTTAAATTCGCATACGTAAAGTGACCAATGCTAGTTCCTACCATGATTACTTAGTGTATAAAAGTCATATAAAATCGAAGATCGAACGGACAGTCGAATGGGTGGATCTGCCCTAAGCCCACAACCAAACAAGGAACAGGAAATGAGGCGGAAATCACACATTCCACTGCCTATCGAGTCTTCATTGTATATAACCCAAACATATCCACTAAGTAATCATACCAATATGTAAATCATCGTATTTGTTTCCAGAAAATCCGATATTTCCTATGAAATGAGTTAAGATTCGTTGTGTCTAAAATAAATGTATTAAACCCGGAAAAAATCCTATATTTTCCCTAAGAATGAATTTGTAATACTATGTATTTGGAAAGTGATATCGTGTAAGCCAGAAAATCCTATATTTTCCTAATAGTGAGAGGCAGTATTAAATGACCAAGACGGTGACATGTAAGTAAATATGATATACTTAGCTTGATAACTTGGTAGTTTTATTATTAAGTAAAACTAGTTGAAGTTGTGTTTACCCTGAATTCTGAATATGCTGATAATACCCTATTATGATTACTTAGTCCCTACAAGTTATATATGACTAAGACTGGAACCGACAGTCGATTGGGTGATTCTGCCCTAAATCCACAACCTAACAAGGAACAGGAAATGAAGCTGATATCATACATCCCACTGTCTATCAAATGAAAACCATATATAACCCTGATGTAAATATTAAGTGATCATATAGTTATTATCCCCCGAGCTTGATTGAGTTGAGTATTACTACGTGTGTGAGTCATTGTTTCCGCGTGCGAGTTCTTATAACCATGCTAATATGACGGATATCCTTACTGTAAATGACATTTGTCACCCCTGAACTTTCGTTCCAACTGTAGCTAACAGTTAGGGCATGGGATTGTCTGTCCCGTATAGAGTACACAAACTCACGCTCTCCCTCCAGGAGACTCTGGCTATAAGTGGTGGACTTTCGTTTGATACCAAACAAAGCCGTTGTCTCACAGATGATTCGCTAACAATAAGTTCACTAGTAATATATGAAAAACCTTTTAGTAAATAAAAATAACAATTATCATTTATAACTTTGTACGATAGAAAAAGTGGATTGACTCATAAATTATACTTATCACAATTTATATACGTGTTTTCCTATCGTTGTTCCTTTTAACCTGTAATTTCCATAAAACGATACTTATCATAGTTTCCATGTATATTATTTATATAATGGAACTTTGTCTAACGACATTTAGAAGTTTATAAGTTTGATAATAATGTTTGTGATTCGAAGTCGATATTTTTGTGTAATAAATACGTAAAGTATAAGAAAACATAATCAATAGTTTGAAACATAAGTTTCCTTGTGTTATACTTGTATTCCCCTCCTATAAAACATATAAAAAGTTTGGAAAAGGTGTAGGGGTATGAACTCACTTGATAAATGGTAAATCGGGCAGCGTTTCGTTTCTAAGAGTGACCTTTCTTGACGTATCCTCGGGTTTCAGGAGAAAAACCGGGCTTCACGCGGGCAGTACTTCGACTGGAAAAGATTTATTTCACGGGAACTTCAAGCCGTCGGGACTTCCGTCGTGTACTAGGGGGTTACCGGGACTTTCGGGTGGTTTAGAGGGGCTTTAGAGAGGTTTCGTGGTAAAAGAAATAAGTAAAGAAGCAACTAAACCCGGGCAGCCTCGTATGGTATTTATAGTGGTTGGCTGACCCTCGTACGCAGGGCGTACCTGCGAGGAACGCCGGGCGTTTCCCGAGCGCAGGGCGTTCCCTGCTCGTACGCAGCGCGTTCAGCATCTTCGGACGTCAGCGCTTACCTTAGTCTCGGACGGTGCGCCGGATGTGACTAGTGGGCGACGTGGATGAACCTAGACCCAACATTTATGAACGCGGGGCGTTCCCTCGGAACGCATGGCGTTCATTTCGGACCAATCTCGAGATTTGAGCCCAAAACTTGTAAAATCCGTAAATTTCGCGTATGATCTCCGTTTTTGACGTTATTTATATCCACGCGTAGGTGAGAATATAATCTACAACTTTCGTTTAGACTCCGTTGTCTATTTTTGACTTTATTTTTAATATTATATTTTTAACAGGCCGGGACTGGAAAAGCCCGTTAAAAATCCATAACTTATTCATCCGATGTCCGTTTTCGTCTGTCTTTTTACCGTTGCACTACTATTGATGAGACCTTCGATTCTCGTTTAGGTCGTGTTGGCTAAAACTCGCTCGATCTCTATTTCGAGTTTTTAGCTGTCTACCGCTATATCCGAAACTTCGAAAAATCATAACTTCCTCATACGAAGTCAGATTTGGGCGTTCTTTTTATGTATGTTCACGGTTTAATGATATCTACGACTTTTATTTAGATACGTAAGGCTAAAAAGTATTTTATTGGAATTTCGTATTTTATGCTTAACAGTGTTTTACCGGTATTGTCGCGGATCTTCGATTGGTCATAACTTCTTCGTTGCAACTCGGATTTTAGTGTTCTTTATATTTTTGGAAACCTTGTTATGATATCCACCACCTGGTATATCCCAATTATGGTTTTATAAAAGTTAAATTTTGACCCTAATTTGACTGGTGTTACATTATCCCCCCGTTAGGGAGAATTTCGTCTCGAAATTCGCATTTCGACTTGGAATTCAATTGTTTAAGGGAAGATGTGCGTTCTTCTGTTCCATTTGCTCTTCTTGTTCTCTAGTGAATCTAGATCCTAGCGTGGGTGTTCCTGCGGACCTTCATTACTCCGTTTATCGCTTCGACCGATAGAGGTCGTGTGGTTTTGGGTTTATTTACTTATGTTCATCTAAATGTTAGCATATTCACTCGTAGCTTAGGGTAGCTTTGTTTTGTAGCTCATGCAATTGGTATAGTGAAGACCAAGCCAATCCATTTCTAATAGCTAATTGGGAACTTCTTTCGTAACAGGTGTTAAGCTGATTGGGAAAAGTGGTTGATCGGGCGATAGTGCATTCTACGTATATGTTTTCAGTGCTTTTAGTGTATCCTTGTTATTACTACTGCGAATATTGTACTTCGTTTAGCGACTACTAGCAGACGGGTGTTTCGATAATTGAAAATGATGAAATTTTATAATATAATTCTTACAGTAAAAATTTAAGCTTCGTATAACCTACCGTTGTTCACAGGGGTTCTGGAGTAGTCTCTCCTGCGGTGATCATTAGGATTCTTCCATCTTCGCCAGAGTTCCTTGTTATTGGACAATCCCTATGGAAGTGTCCAGTTTCGCCACAACTGTAACAGCCAGGAATCTGCGAGATAGGTTGTGCCGGTACTCTACAGAAACGAGTAGTGTGTCCCTTCCTATTACAGTTCTTGCAATGCATTCTCCGACAAGCT